GTTGTCCTGGGAGGAGATGAGTACAGTGTCTTCCTACTTTGCCATCCTCAACAGACTTTTTTTCCAATTTTAAAAAAATATATGTTTATTTTTCTGTATATAACCATGTAAATACAAAAACCAGAATATATTTTATGTTGTTCTGAGTATTCTGCTTATAAATTTTGAAAACTTGTCATGGGCATCTTTCTATTCAGTGAATATACTTCTACAACATAATTGTTTTGGCAACCGCAATAGACATTTTTTAAAAACCTTCACTCTGTGCCAGGCTCCGCCCTGGAACCAGGATACTCAGGTGAATAAGACACAGCCTGTCCTCTGGTAGCTCTTTGTCTAGTAAGTAGGATAGACTTGTAAATGCATAACTTGGGACACAGTAAAAAAAAATGCAATAATAAAATGAAACCCACATTCAGTGCTGGTGTGGTATGTATGTATGGGGGACAGGGGAGACTGGAAGGGCTTTGTGCAAGAATTTATGCTTGAGTTGAGTCTTGGAAGGGTGGTAGGATGTGGTCAGGTGAACATGGAAGAAAGGGGAATGAGAGTGGTGGGGCAAGGATATCCCAGGGGTTGAAGTGCTCACAGCCGTGGACTAGAATGCCGTCTCTTCATGGATATTTGTTTAAGGGACGCACAAGTCATATGAGAAGCTGCACACGTGTCAAAGCATGATTGTAACAAAGGCTGGTGATAAACGGTTTCACATGGACTCTATTGTGGGAGTGAGATGTGACAAGAATTGTCTGACAGTAGTCTAGGAGGTTGCGTGGTGAGAAAGGTACCACAGGCTGCGACAGAGACCGAGGCGGCGGGGGGGGGGCTATAGTTCAGATCAGAGAAGATGAGGAGGTGAACTGAGGCAGTGCTATGTGGAAAGGCAGGGGCGTGGTGATAATCTGAGCAACGGGTGTCATAAACAGCTTGATGTCTGGGTTGATATGATGGGAGATGAGGGACCAAAGGGCCTTTGAAGTTCTGGTCTCACCCCAGGTGTGTGAAATGGAACATGAGGTGTGGAAAGAGAGTGTTAAAAGATGCAGATATATTTAGTTTTTACTTATTTAAGTGAAGGCAAACAATTATATGTTACCAAGATTGGGCTTTGAAATGTTAGCAGTTCAGATATTTAGTTTTAAAGCTATTATGCTAGTACTGGAGGTTGGTGCTGAGAAACTTTTCCCTGGTAGGAGTGTAATAAAAAATGCCTGGGGACCAGGGAATGCTTTAAGGAAGTGGTTTTCGGATTTTTTAGTTTTGGGTTCCTGTATACTCTTTTATTTAGGACCCCAGGGGCTTTTGATTATGTCGATTGTACTTATTGACATTTATCCTATTAAGATTTATTGTCTTAAAAGCTGGAAAGAGTAAAAATATTTGTTTAATAATTAATTTAAAGATAATAACAAACCTAGTACATGTTAACATGACTAACATACTTATTATGAGAAAAACTCTATTTTCCATAAACAAAATAAAATGAAGTGAGATGAGCAGCATTGTTGCACATTTTTGCAAATATCTTTCATGTCTGGCTTCACAGAAAACACCTAAATTCTTTTCTCTGTTTTATACGCAATCTGCTGCAGTATGTTTTTCTGACTGGAGCATAGGAAGAAAATTTGGTCTCACACAAAAATGTAGTTGGAAAATGGAGGAGTTTTTAACAGCCTTTCTAGGTAATTGTAGATGTTCTTCTCTGTCACTCAATAAATAACACTTTTCGAAAGGTCTGTTGCAGTTTTGAACTTGATACTGCATCAGCAGCCTTTTGTGTTCTGTTCTATTAAATCCACCTGTTTATTCTGTACTTTGAATAGATCTGCATTCAAACCTGATTTTGTCACCTCATGAATTAGTCATTTGGAAATTATTGATTCACTGAGTTATGCAAGAATTTAAAAATTTTGACATATGCCATTATCCAATATAAAAAATCATTTTGGTTTTAGCATCACCAACGGGCTCATCAGAAAGTTTTTATGTGTTGGAAAGCTGTCGCATTCATGGCAATGGCTGCATATGTCCAAAATTCTTATTTTTGCTGGAAAGCTGTCAGTTGACTCCCTCGTTAATTTGTTTTTAAGGAAACAACTGCCAAGTACCCCAGTCTGAGTAACCCCGGTTTGTCAGATATTCTTTCAAATACAAACAGGGTTATATGAAAAAAGGGGCTGTTTTAGCTGATGACTAACACAATTGCGTAAGTACTTTTCCTTGCAACAATTGTGGTAATTCAGGTGAAGCATTTTTTTTTTTTTTTAGTTTGGTTTGTTTTTACTGTGAGCGTGTGGGGGTGAAGCATACAGAGTGTAAAGTTGGGTACCGATCCTGTGATTTGGGCTAAGGCTGTTCTGGGTGTACTCACCATCTCTGATGCACCATCAACATGAGTGTGAACACAGTGGAATAAAAACAACAGAGAACATCTTCGTATTATTATGACAACAGTTTTGACATTAAAGGCTGCAGGACAGATCCTGGGGACTCTGGAGACCTCTGGTTAGTAAGTGCTGATTTAAGGTCCTTCTCATGCCACCTTCTGCTTTTTGAAAAGCTTAAAGAAAAGGCATTTCATGACATTAAAAATTATGCTACATTTTTTTTAAAGTGAGATTATCTTATCTGAAACCCATGGCCTTAAAACAATTTTTAAAAGCTGCTTTCTTTTTAGTCTAAAATTAAACATTGCTGTTTCAACTTTTCTGCACTGGTATTTAGTAAGTGGATATGTCTTTGTGTGTGTGTGTGTGTGTGTGTGTGTGTGTGTGTGTGTGTGTCTCAAAATGCCTAAAATTTGTAAGAACCCTGACAACCAAATCACAGGAAACTAAGTTCATTCATCCTCCAAAGGATTTCTGAAGTAAAGTCTTTGTAAAGAGTGACTCTTTTCTGACTTCACAGAATTGATTTTTCAGAAACAAGCCTTATTTCATGTCTGAAAGTGTTCTATGTGTAGTAACGATAGCTGTATAAATCAATCCAACTCCTGTTTTAGTTAATAGCATAATATTTCCTCCTTTAGCTCATACAAATGGGTGCTTCATTTTAAAAGATTTATTTAAGTGTAATTGTTTTAATCCATCTCATTTCTTTAAGAATTTTTATGCAATCAGAGATGATCAGCTGTGTGCTGGGTTATTTTAAGATCTAATTTCCTAGAGTGTTCATGCAGTATATTTGGTGAGCCCATGTATTCTGTCTAATTATAGTCCAGGTAGCAATTAAAGGTAATGAAAATGATCTTAATAACTCATCTAATGGGCCATGGTTAAAATTCAGTTTTTAAGATGTAGCTTATGTTGTTTATAGAGTGATTCTGAAGAACAGGTAATGTTGCAGAAGAAAAGAGAAAATTATGAATTAGAAGCCAAGGGAAAATTTGATGGCAAACAAACTGTGGTTATCGGGTGCTTAATAGGCATGAAAAAATTCAGCTAACAAATCAAGAGCCTTGGAGCCCTGGCCCTTGTGGCTCAGTTGGTTGGAGTGTCATCCTGTGTGACAAAAGGTTGCAGGTTCGATTCTTGGTCAGGACACACGCCAGTTGGGGCACACAGAGAGACAACCAATGAATATTTCTCTCCCCTTCTCTTTCCCTCCTTTCTCCTCTCCCTAAAATCCATAAGCGTGTCCTCGGGTGAGGTCCTTGGGACTCAAGAAAGGGAACTTTAAATTTACAGAAGAAAATAGCATAGCAACCAACTCTATCGTATTTGTTTCCCCTTTTTTGTGAAGACACTTTAAAAACATCATGACATTTTATCATACTTAGAAATAAGGTAATGTCATTGTAAGAATGACCAATCTGTTAGAAGAGCTGACCTGAGCCACACTGAGGACATGCCTACAAGTAGGGTCACAATAGATTGAGAAAATGCTCCTGAGAATGGCAGTTTCAGGGTTTTTTCTGCTTGTTTGTGTGTTTGTTTGAAAAGCATTTACCATCAAAGGAGGGAACACAAGGAACATTACACGAAGCCCATTTCTGGTAGATTGAGGAAGTGGGAGAAAGAAGTCAGGGAAATTTCTAAGACTGGAAAAAAAATGGAGAGAGAAATACTTTGTTTACATTGGAGGGTACAGGATAGTTAACCTTTAACAGTTACAGTAGATAGGGACGGTACACAGGAGACAATCCTGAGCTCCCTTGAGGGGCCTACGCACCTCTGAGGGGCCTGAAAAAGAGGACCATGCTGGCATTTCAAAGGTGTGTTCATGTAGATGCACAAGAGCAATGGGCAAGGCGTCCTTGAAGGATAAGCCTTTTACTGAGAGAGCTATAGGTCTGGGGTCTGACTACTTACCATGACCTGCCCAAAGAGAAATTGATGATCAGATCACCGTGTGGGGTCACTTCCGGTCACTGAGCATGTCAGATTTATTATACAGGCCCCCCTTTTTTGTTCACAGTAGTTTGCAGTGCTACAAGATAAAGCTTACAAGTATACGTTTCACTGTGGCGTGTTAATGTGAGGGCAACTGAGGACCTGCCCTGGGTCTCTGTTTTGCCAACTGAGGTGTGCAAGCAACGAGCTCTAGTAAAAAAGGTTGGGATGATGAAAGGGATTTTAAACATTGTTTAGAGGACTTGGAGAAGGAAAAACAGAGCTAAGGATGAGAACTTGGAAGAGAGACAGAAATATCAAATGGGTACTTTTGATTAAAGTTTGCTATTTAGTGTGTGCTTTAACTGTTTTCTCTCTCCATAATGTTTTGATTTAAATTTGCATTCTCCATTTATACTTTATAAATTGGATTATTTTTTTCAACTTGACCCTGACCTTTGGGTGTGTGTAGAGTGAAAACTGAGCCTGCACAAGTTTGGAGCTGTGCACTACTGTTGAAGGGAGCCAGGAACCCATGCTCTGAAGAGTGTTAGCTAGTTAGTAATACAACAATGCCAAATAATTGGCATTATTTCTCTTTTTCACTTTTCTTTTTGCATTGAAGTAATACAGTCTGTCTTAATTCATGCAATGTCTCCTTATGTTTAGGTCTCGGATGTGGTTTATTGTACACCGCAACAGTGACCATCACATGCCAGTATTTTGACAGCCGCCGAGGCCTTGCACTTGGCCTCATTTCAACAGGTACACTTTCAAAATAAGTACAGCATTGTTACTATACAGCCTTCTAATCAAAGTTAAAAGTTACCAAACACAAATATGTTTAAACAACCACTCCCCAGCTACCAATCAGGTGGTAAAATGTTTTTACTCTAGCCCTATATGGAAATTTCAGTCTCCACTGTAAATATGGTGTAGCTTTCAGAAAAGCCTAAGATACACATATGAAAAATCTGGGGCATTAGATTTCCCATATGTTGAAGTAAGAAATGTCCAAACCTGTAGAGGATTTTTATAAGACTTTATTTAAGCTGAACTGATGACATATGCTGGGAAGTTCCCTTTTTTTGCAGCTTGTTTTTATGCATTTAAATTAAGGAGAGAATGTAAAGAAGATTACAAGGAGGTGAGGGAAAAGGCAGTGTGGAGATTGGATCACAGGATAGTTCCTCAAATTATGTGCCTTTTGGAGGGCGATTATTTCAAAGGTGTCAACCTGGATGCACAAAAGCAATGGACAAGGGCTTGCTTGAGGCAAAAATAAGCCTTTTACTTAAAAGAAATATTCCTGGGACGTGACTGGCCACTGTAACCGGCCCAGTTAGAAATTTATGATCGGATCACCCGGTGAGGTTACTCTCCATAGAACCCTTTTTCTTCACCCACAAATATAATATAGGAAAAGAAAGCTCATGGGCCCAGTAAATTGAGAGTTACGTGCTGGCGAGAATCATGCTGAAAGAAGCGGAGAGCACGTATGTAAAGGCCTTTATCCCTGAGGAAGAGGGAGAAATGGAAGGGAAGTGGAGACCCCTGAGACCCCTGTCAGAAAGACTGATGCCGATAGCTCCCAGCCTCCATTTATTGTGAAATTTACAATGTCCACAAAAAAGTGGGGAGGACTGATTTATGAATACATGTCCCTGACCTATGTGCTCATCCAAAAGATGGGTCGTTTACTCTTGCTATCCTTTAATCATCAAGAGGCGATCACTGGTTGGGGAGAATGTACATATAAAATTTCTGGACTCTCTCTGATAATTTCAAGTGGTGTTTTACTTTTCAGATGGTGTTTTTCCTAAGCAGTTTAGGGAACTTATCAAAAATTTTGTAGCCAGTATTTTATGTATTTGCTTGGGAAATAAAGCTGCCAAAAAGGTGTGTGTTTACCTGTTTATGGGTGAGTGTGCCTGGGAAGCCAGGCTTTCAGATAAGCCAAATCACTTTAGTAGAATGTCTGACAACAGAATCCAAATTGGTGCTTTGCTCCTGACACCAACCAGTGGCTACACCGTGATTCCAGATCCATTTGCATCTGGCTGGGGATTTACCCATGTGATTCAAAGAAGCATTGTCAGTTAAGAAGTGTAGGTCATGGTCTAGGAAGAGATAGGGCCAGCATCTGAAGACATGGCTAAGGCAGAAGTGGGAGAAGTAGAAAAGACAAGTAGAGAACCCGGAGCAGTTGGAATGTAGTTTCGAGTACCTGGAGTAGGAGAGTAGGTATGGCGACTTAAAGGACAGTAGGTCTTACCTACACGATACCTTTTCTCACAGGCACTGTATTGTAGTAGTAAACACAGACCCTGGAGCCAGGCCTGGTTTCAGTCCTGCCTGTGTCATCCACTGGCTGTCTGGTGATGGCAAGTTAGTTAACTTTTCTGTTCATTGTTAAGCCTCAGTTTTCTGAACTGTAAAATGGGAATGAAATAGTCCTTATTTCACTGGGTTATTGGGAGTATTGAAGGAGTTATTGTGTAAGGCACATGTCAAGGGTTCTGAAAGTATTAGCCAATGTGGTTATGACCTAGATTTCCTGGCATGTCCAGGTTTATTTGTGCTAAAGACTTTGAAAGTTGTATGCTGCTCCCGCTTTTCACTCTGTCTGGGGAAAAGAGTCCATGGGCTTTGGCCGTGGCATGCTGCATCTAAACTGGAGCTACTATGGACAGTCAAGATTTGGCAGAATTAAGGAGTTTTCAGTTTCAACTCACAGGGAGCTAGGCAAAGCAAAATTGGGGAGAAGCAGGAATCCTCTGTGTTAGTCCATTCGGGTTGCTATAACAAAGCACCGAGACTGGGTAGGTGGCTTATAAACAATAGAAATGTATTTCGTAGTTCTGGAGGCTGGCAAGTCCAAGAACAAGGCACCTGCAAGTTCGATGAGGGCCCACTTCCTGGTTCCTAGATGGCCGTCATTTGGCGGTGTCCTCACAAAGCTTCAGAAGGGGAGAGGAAGCTCCCTGGGGTCCATTTTTTAAGGGTATTAATCCCATTCATGAGGGCTCTGCCATCATGACCTCATCACCTCCGAAAGGCCACACCTCCTAAAGTCATCTCCATGGGGGCTCAGTTTCAGCATATAAATTAGGGGGAACATCCATTCTATAGCATCCCACTGCAGTGAAAGAGATGACAAGCAAAATAAAATTACAGTAGAATTTTTTTTAATTGAAAAAAAATAGTGAAAATACTTGAAATATTGTGACCTCGTTGAAAGAAAGGGACATGGGCATGACATGAAGGATCTGGGGACTTGGTCTTGCTCCGTGGTGAACAGGGGTCAGTAGACTAATGTCCATCGGCCACATCTGGTCTGCTGCCTGTTTTTGGGCAGCTCACAAGCTAAGAATGATTTTTTGCATTTCTGTATAGTTTTAAAAAATCAAAAGAAGACTGTTTTATGGCATAAAAAATTATGTGAAATTCAGATTTCAGTGCTCATAAATTAAGCAGCATTGGAACATAACCGTGCTCACTCCTTTACAAACCTTCCCTGACTGCCTTCATGTTTCAGGGGCAGAGTTGAGCATCTGCAGCAGAGTTTGTGTGGCCCACTCTGGCTTAAATATTCACTCTCTGGGCCTTTATAGACAAAGATTATTGATCTCTGGTATGAATAGTTAATCAAAGCATGAGTGTGTCTTTTACTATCTCAGCTTCCCTGAACATCTATTAACATTTCCCCACTTTGAGAATATATAATTTAGATGTACATGGAAGCATAATTCATCCTTTATTTCACTTTACCCTTTACATTGGTGATTTTTAAATTAGAGTTTTCTTTTTGAAAATTATACTTTTCAAAATTATACTTTTCTTCTTGAAAAGTATACTCTTCAGTTTACACCATTCTGCAAGAAAGCTCTGAGTTACTCCTTATTGTCCTGAAAGGATTTCTGCATCTTTCTAAAGCTGTGGCTGCATTTTTGTGGGAGGCTGAGGAAACCAGTGTTTCATGTGTAATTTGATCATGTCGTTAGCACAGCATGTACTTAGCACATCACAGATATTCAATAAACTTCAGGTGAGTGATTTAATATGTCTTCCTGATATTTCATGATGTTGAGAGCTACACTTGGTGGGCAATGGAGAAGTTGCCTATTTTCCTCAATTCGAGGTCAAAATATAGAACTTGCAAAATGCTACTAGTATTTCTAAGTATCTAATCAGATGGCACTTTTTAAGACTGTGTACAAAGGAATTGTGTTAGACAAAAATGTCAGTGCAGTGCAGAAGTACACAACAGTGCTATTTTCCATTCTTTCAGTTTATTTTATGAAGTGCTTTGAATTTCCGAAGTATGTGCCGCTTTTAAAAAGATAAGGGGAGGATTACATTTGTCTAGTTACTATTTTTCAGTGTCGGCCAAGAAGATACTTGCTGTCTTACCAGCCACAAAAAGATATTCTTTTAGCCACCATTACATTAACACGAGCTATTAACATTTCATGCAAATAATTTGGGGGGGGGGTTATTAAACAGTTAATTTTTTAAATGCTAGAAAGGGACAACTGTGGTCCCCCCAAAAATGTGTTCTTCCAAGTCCAAGGCAAAGTCATTTGGTTGTTTGTAGGGATTTTTGATCAGAAGGGTTTTTGCTGCGGGCGTGGCACCCTGCCGGGGTTAGGAAGTAATTTGGCACAGATCATTTTAAAAGTGTGATCCACCTATTTATCTGTTTTTAACAGATGTAATTACTTTTCTCCTGCCTTTTCGTGTGACATTTTCAATGATATTTAAAATTTAAAATGCTCAATTTTTAAAAAGTTGAAATTAGAATTCTATGAACATACTTCAGATTGATTGGGCTGATGTAATACGCCATTCCTGTGTGTTTAGGGTTATTATGAAAACTGAAAAAAAAAAAAAACCGAAGAATTTACAGTGTTTTGAGGATATGCACACCAGGCATATTTTGTGGTTTAAATACCCCATCAAATTCCACTTTGCTCTTACTCTATTCATAGTTTAGTAATGCAAATTATTTGTTCTGGTGATTCAGCAATGGATTTGAACTATCACACCATTACAAATATCCCCTAAAAATTAAAATATATTCTTTATCTCAAAACTAAAATATATTTTTTTTCAAAGGGAATAAACATATTCTGTGCATGGAGCCTGCACATAATAAGTGCAGAAAAGTTAGTTGCATAAGGTGTTTGTTAAGAATATGGGCTCCAGGATTGAGTGTGATTCCTACTTAATGCCATTTACAACTTTATGTCCTCTGGCAAATTCTTCAACCTTTGTAGCCCCAGGTCACTTCATGTGTAGGTTGGGAATAATTATAGGACCTACACAATATGATAATTATAAGGATTAAACAAGATTGTGCAATGCAAAGTGCTTAACACTGTCAGAACTACGAATGCTGATTCTTAAAATAAATATTCTATCAGTGTTACTGTAATTGTTGCTAATGGCATCACCTTTGTTATCCTTTTAATATCTCCATACTTTTGTATGAAGGCACGTGTGAGTGCCAGTGTCAAAAAGAAATTGAGCCGTGATACTGGAAATCCTTGTCCTGGGTGTCCCAGGTTATGAGAGGTTAAGGCTGAACAGTTTCCATTTCCTTTGTAGGTTCAAGCGTTGGACTTTTTATATACGCTGCTCTACAGAGGTTGCTGATTGAGTCCTATGGACTGGATGGGTGCCTGCTGATTGTGGGCGCTTTAGCTTTAAATATATTAGCCTGTGGCTGTCTGATGAGACCCCTCCAGTCCTCTGATTGCCCTTTGCCTGAAAAAACAGCTGTAGAAAATGTACCAGATAGATGCTCCACTTACAGTGAAAAAGAAAAGAACCTAGAAGAGAGCATAAGCATTCTTGAAAAGAGCTGCAGTAGTGAGGAGACAGGCAAGGGCCCTTTAGCCAACGGTAACTGGACACAGGAAAGCCGGCTTCACAAAAACCCAACAACAATGGCACACCGCACGAGAGAGGCTGAGCCGTACAAAAAGAAGGTTGCAGAACAGACATATTTTTGCAAACAGCTTGCCAAGAGGAAGTGGCAGTTATATAAAAACTACTGTGGAGAAACTGTGGCTCTTTTTAAAAACAAAGTATTCTCAGCCCTCTTCATCGCTATCTTTCTTTTTGACATCGGAGGGTTTCCACCTTCGTTACTTATGGAAGATGTAGCAAGAAGTTCAAATGTGAAAGAAGAAGAGTTTATTGTGCCTCTGATTTCCATCATTGGCATCATGACAGCCGTCGGTAAACTCCTTCTGGGGATACTGGCTGACTTCAAGTGGATTAACACCTTGTATCTTTACATAGCCACCTTGATAGTCATGGGCCTGGCCTTGTGTGCTATTCCATTCGCCAAAACTTATGTCACCTTGGCAATACTTTCTGGGATCCTAGGGTTTCTTACTGGTAATTGGTCCATTTTCCCCTATGTGACCACGAAGACTGTGGGAATTGAAAAATTAGCCCATGCCTACGGGATACTAATGTTCTTTGCTGGACTTGGAAATAGCCTTGGACCACCAATTGTTGGTAAGATATTTATCCTAGTCAACCATCTATCTCACTGCTCTTCTTTGTGACTTCTCCAGATAGAGAAATTCGAGTTGTAATAATCGCACAGATTTGCACAAAATAAATCTGCATGGTAATGGTTTACTCAGAATCACTTTGCTGTAGTTAAAAAGCCAATATTCTTGCTCAGGGATTTGTGTTTATTCTTTGCTTGGGAGAAACCTAAAACTCCTGCTTCTTGTGCAAATTTTTGAGAAATTCTCCTTTTCCAATTCCCAGTAGGCCACCCATGTGAGTAGATGGAATATATATTCTAATACTAAGTGCATATAAAATTGATGAGATTAGAGTAAGGGCTTTATATTCATACTATTTTTATGAAACTCACTATTTTCTTACTCTCTTTCCAGGTTGGTTTTATGACTGGACCCAGACCTATGACATTGCGTTTTATTTTAGTGGCTTCTGCGTCCTGCTGGGAGGTTTCATTCTGCTGCTGGCGTCCTTGCCCCCCTGGGAAGCATGCAACAGGCAACTCCCCAAGCCGGCTCCAGCAGCCTTTCTGTACAAAGTTGCCTCGCATGTTTAGAGGAACTTTGGAAGGCAGTGCAAGACTGTTTTTCATAGTGAAATTTCACTGTGGCTGGTTCTGAATGAATTTAAAAAACAAAAGCATATCCTATTCTCTACATAGCCTCTATCTCCTGCATTTTTTTTTCTTTTTTCTTTTCCCAACAAATGGGACTATTTTGTTTTGCTGTTATTCATGAGTTCTTGACATGGTAAAAATTTTGGCCAGCCTCAGAGAACCTCCTCTGTGTAAAGAAATAATTTCTCTGAAGGCTTCATTAGTTTCATTGCAAGGCACCGCAAGGGGACTCCTGTTTCAAAACTGCAGGCGGCGTGATGAGTTACGTGTGTTGGCCATTAGGGATGAGCACTCTCTTCTCTAAGTTAGACCAGCTAGGAAATAGAAGACGTTAAGCCAGTCAAAAAATTGAAGTACTTACTAAAACGGCCCTAAGAATTGCTGTGGAGCAAACTGATCGTTAAAAAAGAAAGAGCTGTTTTAAATTACAGTCACTGGTTTCATCATCCTATTTCACTGACCTTGGTGAAGCAGCTACAGGTTCGTTGCTCGTGGAGCATTATGCATTTGCTGAGATGCAGGCGATCTCCAAACAGAGGGGGAGTCGCTGCTGCCTTTCTTCATGGTTGGCCGCTATAACCTCACTTACTTTTGTCTGTCAGCATCTATTTAAGCTGATGTTCCCCAGGAAGTGCTGATTTTACCTGTTTCCAAATTGGAAATGCATATTTAAACCATTCCATTCTGGCAAATGGGAAACATCCATTTGCTTCGGGCACAGTGGGGACGAATTGCAAGTCTTGCCTCTCTTCTCCATCTATCTGCTACTGTCACATTTTACCACTACCACATTTTAATTCAAGGGCAGAACTACGAAGTGCGTGTGTACATGTGTGTGTGTGTGTGTGTGCATGTGCATGTGTGAAAGAGATGTTCTGAGCCTGTGGGACATAGGAAGGGGAAAGGGCAATAAGAAGTTGATACCCTGACCCAACTTCATTCATTCTTAAGAAAAAATGTTCTAGGAAAAAAAAATCAATGTTTAATAAATTAACATTTTTCTAAAGAAATGTTTTAAAAGCTTTTGTATGCATCAGAATCCTCTAGAGATTCTTTTAAAAACATACCACTCTTAGAAACTTTAACTCTGTAGTTCTAGACTGTGGCCAAAGATCTATATTTTTTAAGGATTCTTAAAGAGATTCTGATAACACAGCCTGCGTTGAGACTGTTACAAAACTGGCACATTTGTTCCCATAATTAAAAAACAAACAGGAAGCCACTGAGGTGATGGGTTTTTATAGATAGGCAGGTGTGGTTTTTTTAAATAAGAGGCACTCTTTCCATTGTGCCCAAATTATTTTTTCATTTTTGAAATATGTAAGATTATTTCATACTTCTACGTTGCCTTTCTTCTAAGGCACCTGAAGCACTTTATGAAAACAAATCCCCTCAACTCCTCGTGGAGGTGGGCAAACAGTGCTTTTCTATGCAGTAAAACCTGGAGTAGGGGCAGTTTCGGAACGGAGTCCATGATACTCGACAAGGAAACAACAGGGCTCCTCAGTGCCTTGGACTTCTGCTCTCTGCTCAGACTTCGGGAAAGTGTTCCGTACCTCATTTTTTAGTCACTGTCAAAGGTGGTAGATAAAGTTAGTGACATTAAACAAGTAAAACTACATGTTTCTTGTGTTGGAAGTTCCTTTTGCCAATATTCTATGCAGAAAGTCCAATAACCTGATAAAGTTTAACTGCTATGAATTCCCCATGTCCACCAATGTTGATAATTGTTCAAATGCATCTGTGTGTATTAAAGTCATTCGATGTGTGCATTATCCATCGTCTGGGGGATGAATTTTAAGGAAAAATAAAATACTTTTGTTTTGCATCAGTTTGGTTGCTTTTTTTTCTTCTTAGCCCATCTCCCTCCCCACCCCCAAATTACATAAAGTGACACTTTGCTTGAACATAAAACATAACTTATTTGTTGTCTACTTTAGTCTCCAGAATTTGATGGTTGGACATCATTATATGCAAAAGTTAATTTGCTAAGTTTTTTTAACTCTTGTCTTCTGAAAAGCTATTATATCAGTCCTGCAGATTTCTTTTGAAGAAGAGGGGACAGATTTCAAGATTCTTAATGATGATCTCATTAGTCAGTAATGCAATATTGTTTATCCCTACTCATAGCCCTGTGAGGTGGGGAGTGTGGTGGTCATTGTATGTTTCAAAGCATAATTGTCATGGTTTGGACAACATATGTAAGTCGATTCCAAAAGCAGAATTAGAAAGGTTTGCTTTCTAACATCGCTAGGACATGGGACCTAGCTGGGAGGGTTTTTGTAGAGATGTCATGTTTACTTAACTATTTATAACTTGCCTGTTTCTTAAAAATTAGTCCTTTAAAAGCACGCTTAATAATGAAATTATATTGATGAGAATACAATCTTTTGTGATGCAAAAGGTATTTCTGGACATTGCAAGTGCATTGGGCTGAGCTGGGGAAAGGTGTAAACTAAGACAGTTTACTAGAGACCCTCCTTCCTGACTTTAATGCTGCCTCTCTTCTCTTTTCAGCCTCTCTCTCTCTCTCTCTTCCCCTAGGATTTAGTTGGTGATCTAATTTTCTGTAGCATGACCGTGCCATCAGGGGATAAGGTTCAGACACCAATTTTTAAAGGCCTCAGGAGGAACAATACCCAAGACCCAGGAGTTCTAGCCCTGGGAGGTCATGACCGAGTGGTATGTCAGTCCTTTTCCTGGCTGGAAAGTCCCGTGACCTCAGAGAGCCTTCAGCTCTGAATATAGGATTATCTTAACTCAGGACACCCCAGGAAATATAGGAAAACTCTAATTTTAAGGAAACAGTGTCTTATTTATTTATTTTTTTTTACTTAGAATGAGTATTATATTAAACGTGTAAAATACACAATACACATTAGCAGTGCCAGACGATTTCTCCTTCATAATAGCAATCGTGGGGCATTTTGCTCTACAGTCAGTTGTGTTTGAAGGATGCCAGTTAATAAGATGCCTCTTTAACTAGTGAGTCCAACCACAAATGGGTAAAATGATCAGAAATCTATGAATGCGAAGCTACTATTCAGAGATGCAGTATGTATACTTGTTCAGGGTGTGATCCCTGCATTCAGTTGTAGCCCACTTGGGTGCTTGTGAGCAAATTATTTAGTCTGTCAAAGCCTCGGGGTCTTCACTTGTCAAGCATGTCTAGGGCCATTGTGGGAATTAAATAAGCTAACCTATGTAAATGTCTGGCACATGTGGAGTAAATATTGGCTGTTATTATCTTTGCTATTCTTCTTTAGTGTGTGTCTCCCCAATACCAGAGTGAGACATTCCTGGGCACAGGTGTGGGGCAAATGTTTACCCTGAAGGGCCTCGTTTAGAAGAGGAATCAGAAGCCTTTTCGTATCCCTACCCGGTATAACTGCCACAGCTCTTGCCTTCTCCCAATCACGTCAACGTCAAAATCTTTTATCCTTAAAGATTCACGACTCAGCACTTTTTTTTTCCTGGAATTGCCATTCAGAAGCTGTGACACAAAACAAAACACAGGCTGTTCTTCCACAAATCAAAAAGAATCTTCTTCGTAAAGTGCATCGCTATGGGAATTTGAACTTTTGTTTTTTTTTTCCCCCGAGCTTTGAGGAAGGCAGACCTGAAGTTGGGCAGAAAACAAAATGCTCCCATTTGTTTACGGAGCACTAATTAGTATCAGCTCAGGGCCCTTACCTCACCGCCTTCCCAGCATGCCTTTGAAGTTTACTCTTGAGGCAGTGTAATTTCTCGCCAGATCTTCTGGGATTCTATTCCTAGCAGGTCTCCGTGACATTAGTTCCTTTTTCCTACATGCATTCCTTGTCCTAAAGAGTCATTTGCTTTTATGCTCTCTTCTTGCAAAGATTTAAAAATATGGATGTATATAAAGTGGAATCAGTTTTTTCCAAGTGATAGACTAAAACCTTTGGTTGACGATGGTCAAGGTGCCGTCCTGCGGTAGGTCATCTAGAAATTACATAGCCACAGAGATATGCCTGCTGTTTTCTTCCAGGCAAAGTTCCTAATGTGATAAGGCAAGTCGTAATTTCTCCAGCTTCGATCTGAAACTCTTGAACATCTACAGTTCTAATGGGGAGTTTCTAAAAGTAGCCCCTTTGCCTCTGGGACCTTAGCAGCAAAGCCGACCAAGTGGAACTGGTTAAGTCAGCCTCTAAGAGACAATGGGCCAGCATCAGCACTCATTTGCATACAGTCTCTAAGGCTGCTGGGAGGGTTCAATTTTGAGAACTGCTGGGCAGGTTCCCCTCCTGAAGGAAAGGCATCTGCCTGAAGGTCAAGTGGGAATGAGGTCTCGGTAGAAGAATCATTTGAGGCTAATGAGAGTGCCACACTACATAATGGAGAGAACCATAACGTCTTGGTTTGTCTGATTAGAATAGGTAATATATGGGACCGTCCTCTGCCCAAGTCTTGAAATGACTATATCTTCAAGGGCATTTTAGCAGTCACCAGCTGAGGGGCATAAGCTGAAATAAGAGCTGCGTCTGTGCCTTGCTCTCAAGGCCCTCGGAAGTAGTATGAACCAAGGAGAGGGGGCAACAGAAGCATCAAGGAACTCTAGAAGCCAGTTTTGGTGAAACCAGGAATAGATGTCCCAAAGACACCTGAGAGAGAGGGGAGAGAGAGATCTTTATGGCAACAGCTATGAAATATCTCAGAAAGACCTTGTTTCAGGACCTGAGGCATCCCAGTCTTTCCAGAAAGACCTGAAAATTATAAATCTCAGGGCTGTTTTAGGCAAGAGGAAGCCTCCATTCATCTGGGCTTCTTCAGGAAGTTCAAGGTAGACTTTCTCTAAGGGTTATTAGCTCTGTCTTAGGGGACATTGCCTATCCCATCGTCCTCTGGGGATCTTTGAGAAGGGTATGGACTTTGTAATAGAGGAGACAGTAGTTCAGTGTCTAGTTAGCTGGGAACAGAGGAAAGATCCCTCCTCTCCAGGACTATACAGTTCAGTGTGGGGTAGATGGTGACAGGAATGCACTAGGGACAGTGCTGTAAATGGGGGTGGACTAGAGAGCCACAGGGACTAGGGAAGAAAGTGGGTCTAAATCTCTCTTAACAAGCCTTCAGCTTATAGGAGAGAGCCAAAGCTGAGGCCAAAATAGTAAGAGTTTCATCTCACTTGACCAGTAGGACTCATAATGGGTAAAGGGAGGATAATGGACAAGCAGTGGCAAGAGATGGAAGAACTTTATATGCTGTGCTCAGGAGTTTAAGTATAGTATTGAGAATCTGTGCAAGAAAGGTTTTGGTGTTACGATTGAAGTAAAATTAAGTGTGAAGTTGAGGACTTTTGGTAAATATATATAACATATAATTACCATCCCAACCAACATTTCTATCACCCTAGAAATTTTCCTTAGGTTTCCCTCTATTCAATCCATACCCTCCCAAGGGTAAATAACTTTTCATTTCTGTCACTAAGTATTAATTGTGCCTGCTCATGAACTTCATATAAATGAAATCATTTAGGATCTACTCTTTTGTGTCTGACTTCATATGTTTAACATAATGTTTTTGAGATTAAGCCATGTTTGCCAAATGAAATATATGATGCCCACTTAAATTTGAATTTCAGATAAACAAATAATAATTACTAGTAAATGTATGTTCCATAAAATATTTTTATTTTTATTTGATAAGTCTGGTGGGCCATTTAATCTATATTGTTGTGTTTTTAGTAGTCCATTTAAAAATGCTAAGTAGTACTTTACAGTATGAATGTACCACAGTTTGATATTTTTTCTCCCATTAATGAATATTTAGGTTGCTTTTGGTTATGAATGAAGCTGCCGTAAAAATTCTGTACAAGTCTTTTTGTGATTAGAATTTTTTATTTCTTTTGGGACAAACACCTAGAAGCAGAATTGCTGGGTCGAGGGGTAGAAATGAATTTTTTTTTGTTGAAACAAACTCCAAGTCTTTCATTTTACACTCCATGGAAGAATTGTGAGCTGAGCAGTGATACAGTCGAATTTGCATTTTAGAAATATCCCTCTGGTAGTAAGATCACAGAAATGTAGGAGGCAGGGTGAGAACGGGGGCAGAGAGACTTTGAAAAAGGCCATTTCAAAGTCCAGTGAAGATATTAGATACTTGAGTTGTGGCAGAGGAGACGATAGAGAAATTTTGGAGGCTAATGCAATAGGCTTCTTACTGCATCATCAGTGAGAGGTCAAGGGCAAGGGGGAGTCTGCACGTACAGCTTTCCTGACAGGTCCTTGCTGAAAATTGGTAGGGATGGTGTCTGCTTCATGACTAAGCTGTGTTTAGTACTGTGTCAGAGCACAGTAGGCTGCAGATCATTTTTCCCCCTGACTCATAGGGCCCATGCCTCTGAGAAAAACCTCATTCCTAGTAGAAGCACCTAGAAGTCTGGGAAATCTCGTGAAGCTCTTTGCACTCAGATGAGCAAGCCATTCCGACCACACGTCCACACTCTGTCCGCTCCACTGTTTTCTCTTCAGTCACTTGAGATCATGGATCTTTGCCTTCCTTTCTTTTCCTCCTCACAGCAGGTGACCCCTGCAGGCTTGGGGAGCATTTTTGGGGCTTTAGCACCACCATGCGGTTTAGGGGGCAAAGTCCCGGAGTAGGCCACATCCATCTTGGAATCACAGAGCATGATTAACGGCCTTGAAAGGCCATCTGGCTTTTGCTGTCTCCTTCAGTCTGAGAGGAAAGAGATTTGTTACTGAATATGAAATCTCTCCTACAGGCTCAACTGCCCATGGAGAGATCAGGGGGCGTAGTGGGTCCAATTTGAACTA